TGATGGCAGGGGCCAACATGTTGGAATTTATATTGATGCTCTGAAGATGTTTGTTGAGTCTAACCCAAGGCAACACACTCATGGAATGGCCCTGAAATTGCATGTATCTCATGAAACAATACATAAACATCCAAGGAATATGGGAAAACTCCATACAGAAGGTTTTTGGGTGCCTCACAAACTCTCTGATGATCATCGTTTCCAACATATAAACGTTGCTTCATCTCTTCTGGCGTGTAATGCATGCGAATCATTTTTGGACAGAATTATCACCAGTGATGAAAAACAGATTGTCTATGAGAATATTAAAAACCAAAAACAATGACCTAGACAAAAACCACTTCCGATCCAAAAACCTGGACTCCATCCGCAGAAAGTGCAGCATTGCATTTGGTGGGACATCAAAGGAGTAATTAATTCGAACTCCTCAATCCACAGCGAATAGGTCAATGCAGAGATCTACAGTCAGCAACTGTAACATTTAAATCAACCCTTCATCAGAAACGCCCTTCACTCATCAATCGGAAAGGTATTCTTCTTCTCCACGACAATGTACGTCCATATGTGGCACGTTTGGTGCAACACAAGATTATGGAGTTGAGTTGGGAAGTTCCTACCCACCATATTCTCCAGATATGATAAGATCAGATTACCATCTTTTTTCATTTGCTGCAACACCATCTTAATGGGAAAACATATGCAAATGTGGAAGGTGTTAAAGAGGACATCAACAAGTTTTTTGCTTCAAGGCCAAGTGATGCATTTAATCAGGGCATTGTAAGATGGAAAAGCATCATCACTAAGAATGGAGACTATTTCATTTAATAAATGTTTTGTTTTGATAGACAAGTTGTTTGGGATTTTTCATCTAAAAAAAGCAACATTAATTTCTTGACCTAATATTAAACCCATTTTTGTGAAAATGACAGAAATAAACAGACTAATACCAATAAAGATAACAGGAATCAGTTTATGAGAATCACAAAACTGTCATTTTGACAGTTAACTTTATTACCAAATTTACTTTTATTTTTTCAGTATAGAAAGATTTAAAAATGACCAACCAATTTTTTAATATGTAAAAACAACTGTATAAAAGCTTTCAATTTTTATACTTTATCTAACTATGCACATTAAATAAACTGTTTTATCTATATTGTACTTACACATCAAATTATCAGTAAAAAATATTCAACATTAAAAGAAATGTTAAACATAAAAGTAAAATGGTAACCTTTTTTTTCTGAGAAAAATCAAAAGGAAAAGGTTAGTACCCCGAATTGTTTTATGCTTTTTTTTGTCAATTGTATTGTAGAATGCATTTGTTTTGAATTAGTTTTTTGTCATTTCTTATAACTTATACTTATGTTCTCCAGAAGATTGAATACCTTATATTAAAATGATTCTGAATATGAAAATAAGGAAGACAGTTGACAACCACAGCTAATATAAAGTCACAGCAGAATAGCATACATCAAAACTACATTTTCACTTTGTTTGCCATTTTGCAGGTAGTGTGATGCTGTTAAAAATTTATTGCATTTGAGAAGAATATATAGCGGCTATTTCTGACATAAAATATTCATACTCTTAGATCATAAGGATGCATTAAGATTAAGGATTTAGAATTTCAAAGAGAGATATCCTTTATACTTAATGATATTGGAAGAAAAAAAAACAACAACATAAATTAACATAGTGTACCAGAACTTTGCAGAAACAGACCTGCAACAATTTTTACTCCACCTTAGGTAGACAAAGTGTGGTGCTTGTAACATGAGAACCCACAAACACAAAATTCAATAACAAAAGCCATCCACATGCCAAAGGCAACAATATGCTAAAAATTCAAGAAGGATCTTCATCTGGACAAGTGACACAAGTCACATGTATACAAGTTTCTTCCACAACATATCATATACCTCAAACTGAAGGAGAATGAAGACATATAGAGACAATCAAATTTCCACATGCAGCACATATGGATATATATGTGATCAAACTCTTGACACTGGCTCTAGAAAACCACCATTTCCATAGATGCATTATGAAAAGCTGCAGAGAGTAGTGGTGTGCTTTTGACATTACAGCCTTACAATGGAGCCTTCTGAAAAAAAAGAGACTACGCTACAAGGCTATTATCAAGATTCACAGTCATTGGACAGAGCATGACCAGACATGGCAACACAGATTGTAAGGATGTGATGAGACTCAAAAAATTGTCTTACTATAATGTATTCAACCACTGTGTTACTAAACCTCTTCATTTTTTTAAACTTCCACACAGCATCCAATATACTGTAAGTACTCTCTATCTAATTATGACATTATAAAGTTTCATTCTCACATTTAAACCAAAGAACATAAAATAAAGTTACACACATTTTTAAACAATTTCTTATTTCTGTCAATTAGTATACATACTATATTTTTCCTTTTATACTTTTGAATTTAAGATTAAATAAGAAACATCATATATGATAAGATATGGAATTCTTAAAATTGTTTAGTAAAAGAGAAAACTGAAGGGTGATTTCTTTTATTCACAGCTATGGTTGTACATACTCGTCTTGTCACAGACTTGTCTATATGACGAGGATACTCAGTGTGTAATGTCATCAAATCTGCATTCAAAGTACGGATTTTTTCAAGACGAAGCCTTACAAAACGAGCGTTGGTAAATTCCTAGACATAAAAAATTTAAACTTTAATTAGCATATCTGTTATGTTAAAAGTTATTCAAAAATTTATAAGTAATTTTACAGTTTAAGTTTACCAGCATTAAAACTGTAGATAAATTATCATAGCTTTTTAAAGAAAAGTAAATAAGCCAAACAATTAACAATTTTTACCAAAGTAATAGTGCTTATAAGTCTCAAAATACATGTTTATATTCATGTCATACAAGTCATATTCAAATATTTTACACTAAACTGCTTGAAAGATTAGATTATCAACAGTATTATTTTGAAAATTTACAAATTAAATTAAATGCTCTTATATATTTGATGGTCAAAGTTTCACATAAACTTATTATTCCTAATTTAATTGTTTCACCAACTTACAATGACAGCAAATATGTTAAAAACTTGTATCTTTTGTGCCAGTGGGAGAAACGATGAAATAATTTTTTTTCTTAAAGAGCAAAAACCAGATATCTTAATCTTTTCTAGAAATCAGAGAAAGAGGTACTGTTACAATTTAAAGACAGTTATACAATGTTATGGATATGGGAAAGTAGTTTGCAATATTGCTTCCATCCATGAAATCCCAGAAGTATGGTAAATTTGAAATGGACAGAAAAATAAACTTTAAAAGTCATTTTTGTGGTCATGTAATAAAAAATTACATAGACTTCTTCAAATTTATTAAAAAATAACCCCCAAAATGAGTTATGTATACCATCTGATAACATGCTTGTAAACGTGCAAATTTAAATGAACGTTAATAACAAATATGGCAACAAATTTTAAATCTTTATTACACGTTTTTATAAACTCACTTCCAAAATAAACAAAGATCTATTTTCTACTTACCATTAAAGTTTTACTTGGACCAGCAGCACCTGGTCTTCCATTTACTAAGGATATATGAATCTGACAAAAAAAAACAACAATAAATTACATTTGACTTAATTATGACTTCAAGACATTGTGGCATGAATGCTTAAGTTAGAAGTACTATTTTGCTATTATTTAATAGTATTAATAACTGAATAAATTGTCAAGAAACAAAACTCCTATGGAACAAGTTCATAAATATTATAGGCAGAATTTTAGCAATACATTATTTATCACAACCTGTTATTTTTTAAACATCAAATTCATACTGTCATAATATCTTTTCATTTCATAAACAGTTTTTTGTCCTTAAAGCATATTACATAACCAACATAGATACAATTGTAACTTTACAGAAGATTTTGAATTTTTATTGAGTCATTGAGCACACTACAAGTCTTTTATATTTATTCTTTTCCTACTAATAATAGATGATTTTCATATATATGTAGCTGCAGTTTATAGATCAGCATTGTCTAGTAGAGTTTGTCTATATATAGTTCAAAATATATGTCTCTTCCTAATAAAGAAACAAACTAGACATCATTAAACCATTGAAATAGTTATACATCCATTGGTATTGCTTAAATAGTCCCTGGGCCACAGAGTTTAGCTTAACAACTATCTTTTTTTTTTTTTTTTACACAAGATTGGCAGATTGTAAAAGTAAATCTTCACATTTTTTAAAATGTAAAACAAGTACTTAAACATACGCACTGCATAAACAAGTGTTCAAACAAAATTATAGTATCTAAAATCAACCACAAACCTCTCCATTTTCTAGAGGGTCCAGTTTTGAATAATAGGATGTGCATATAACTTCATCATCAGTTCTATAGCGAGGGAGGCCAATTGTAGGACGGATACCATACACCTCCCAACATTCAGCCTCACTGATGGCATGGTACTGCCAGGGCTTATAGTTTACACCATCAGGCGACCTCTCAAGAATCCAGTTTCCAGGTCGTGGAGATATTGCCGTTTTGATTATAACATATGCTATCTGGTAGACCTATGTTAGAAGAAAGAAATTCAATGAATGTTTTTTAACTTATCATCTTAAATATTTCCACATGATAACACTAACATGTGGTTGTACCATCAGGTTTTCAAGCAAGACTAATGCTTAAGCTAATAAGTACTTTTATTTAATGCACCTTGTGAAGGAGTTATATTCTTATATTCAGACAAACACTATTATTATTCACTATTATTATACATTTCATTATGTACCTCTTCTACTGTGGCACGATATTTGGATTGTGGTTGAAAATATCTAACAGCATTCTAATTATCATAATAATGGGATATCAATTTAGCTATGTTTATTACAAAGTTAATTTTTAGTTCTTTTCTTTCTAAGCAACAGTATAAATTTAACACTGTTATACAGTAAAATCCAGATATTCTAGAGTATGAACCAGTTGTCACAATGTTTCAACACTGCTTGGAACAGCAGATAGGTTGACAACAATGAACCATCAGTACAGGTCATAGACACAGGATATTGTATGAAATAGTGTTACACAAATACATTTTAAAATGAAATCTCTCTTTCCGCAACTCTTCAATTTACGTGTCAAAAAATAATTAAGCCTCTACACTTTTAAGAAATTATTATACAGAAAAGCAACTAACTTGTTTAAGATCAAGTGTGATAGTGACTCGTTCATAATGTTTTCCATTTTGTAATGTGGGGCTCTGCCACCAACTATTGGTTCCATCTATAGCATTTACAATTGGATGTCGCTCGTCTAAATCAGGACTGGTAGCATCACAAACACCACACTGTTGCTGTCTGTAACGTGTATTAAATTACATTATTTGTGTATCAAAAAGAAAATCATACAACATTAAACAACTACAGATGAACACTGGAAAAAAAAGAAGAAAGAGATAAATTATGTCACAGCAACTCTAAGAACAGTACGACTTAAAAACGTAAATGTATAAAATTTGTGTAACACTTCATCATACCAAGAGCTTGCTGCTTCAAATTATCTTAGTTTTCGATAAAATTTTTTATCACGTTATACTACAACTTTTCCTTCTACCTTATTATCAATAATTTTAAAAAATATTGACGTTATACTCCATCCAAGATACTAAGTTTGATGGAATACTACTATGACCATGGAAAGCAAAATACCCCTGTATGATGTCTTAGACATTATAACAAGTATCTGAAAATCTGACTTTAGAAAAAGATGTCAATTTTTTAATAAAAAAGTTTTACTTAAGAATAAATAATATATATATATATATATATATATTATTTTTTTTTTTACTACACACACACACACACACACATATATATATATATATATATATATTTGCTTTAATAATTACCATGAAACAATTGGGCTATGTCTCATTTTTCATTGGTATAATTTGAACCAAATTAATGTATTGTTGTGGGCCATGTTTTAATGTTGTAAGTTGTTTGTTAGCTAAAAGGAACTGCAGGTTGTAATGATTTAATATAGGGCTGGAAAGTTCTAGGGATATGACGCCAAGTGTTCTAGTGTATTCAGAGCTAGATAATAAATACGAAGATTGGAGATTATAAAAGAGAAAATTGGCTTTAGCCGATAGAATAAATTAGTCCGTGTGTTTTAGTGAAATAATTGGAACTGTGTTATTTAGCTATTGTGGATATTACGTTCTTTGTACGATTAAACTGTTTTTTTTTTGTTTTTACATTAGTGTGGTACAGTTAAGTGGCTGTAAATGTAGCCTACAATGTACCACAGTGTTAAAGGAAGAAATAAATTAATTTTTCCTCATTATATGGACTGAACGTTGAATTATTATCACCAGTTAATTTGAAAGAATCCACGAACAAAAGCCCAATGTTACAATAGTATCATAATTTGTGGAATAGCTTATTCAGCTATAACTTATACTGTGTTGACTGTAAATTAAAGAAAAAAATACTATGAATGATCATATCAGTTATATCCCAATTGTAGAGTATTGGTGTAAAATCATCACAGTAAATTTATTACGGGTGCAGCTCTTCGAACTTTTAGCACAGATATCTTACAAACTCACTTTTATTATAAGACTTCTGAGACTTTTAGAAAGCTGAATATATTTTTTATATGCTTCTTTTATGTAAAAATGGTAATAAGCTTAGTTGCTCTGAAACAATGATTACTTATTTACTTTCCAGTATATATTTAGACATAAGATCCTGTTTTAGGTATTTTAAATAAGTTATTACAGAAATAAGCATACAAACAAAATCTAGTATTACAAATTCAATGTGCATCACTTAGAATTTATTCTTTGTTAAGAACAAAGCTGCACAATGAACTATTCATATTCTTAATAACTGAAGACTTTAGAAATATTGTCCTCTACACTCGTGTTTTTGTTTTTTTGTTTTTCTAAAACAGGCAGTTGCCGTCCATTCCAGTATACTCATACACAATGTGCTAATTTTGCTGTGGCTGCCTCAAGAAACGAGCCAGAATTTTTGAGATATAAGCCCTCAGGCACACTATTGAATACTAGGGAGAGTCTCATTTAGAAAACCTTCTGTAAAGAGAAACATAAGTTGTAAATATCATAGTATGGGCAAAAATAATTAGATCACACAATTTCAATAAATAAATACACATTGTATTAAAATTTTATTTTGAAGTTTAACACAAGCTGTTTTTCCATATCCATATACTTTTTCTGCAGCTATTTCAGAGAGTTTCAAATCTTTCTCTTTACTTTATAATGTTGGGAGCTGTGCTCTTAATGTTTAAATTTGGTTGTTTACTAAACAGAATTACTAACATAATGATGCTAGATTTATAAATTTTATAAAAGTAGCCCTAGAATACCTAGAATTTTTGGGAATATTGATGATTGAGAAACTTTGTGAAACACCTAGAAACAAGGATTCATTACATATACAACAATCAGTAAAACGCTGAGCGAGTTACAGTTTGTTCAGTGATTGAAAAGTTTGTGAAGTACAGATCAGTGTTAGTTTTCGCGTATATTCAGTTACTCGATCTATTTGCCATGAAACTGTACATGTAAATTTTCTTGCACATATGACGTAGTACCAATAGCAAATAAATTTGTCATTAAATAGTAAATGTTACTTGTGAATGAATTAGGGCTTACAACACTGTAGAAGTAGCCTGTAACAAACCTTAAGGAAGAAATCAATTAATTTGTTGCCATTATGTGGACTGGACTTTGCATTGTTTTCAACAAATAATTTAAAAGTACCTGCCCCACGATAAAACACAGTGTGAGAAGTGGGATTATTTTGATGTGAACAGAAATTAAAATACTGCTTTGACTCAACTCCAATATGGCATCCTGATCCAGAAGCAAGGTCGAAGCTTTACTATAGTTGATTAGATAATTAAGACAGTGTCAAAAAGAAAATCAGAAGGCCATGAAGCAAGAAACAAAATGTTAAAAGAAAAAAAACAATAAATTTGAAGAAAGAGACAAGATTTTAAGATAATATTTAAAGAAGAATTAAGAGAAAAAATAATTGATTGAAGAAAATACTGATGAAGCATAGCAATAAAATTGAAAAGTATAGAAAGACATCAATGAAGTACATAAATGCTGTAATAACAAAATTGAAAAAGCACAAAAGGAGATCACTGAGGGGGAGAAAGAACATCAGTGACAGAATAGAACATCTGGAAAAAGAATTGGTGAATGCAAAGACTAAAATAACCATGCCTCTTTTTGCATCTGTCCAAGAATTCCAACTAACCCCCCCCCCATCTACTACAAAGCATGGAATAGGATAATTTATTTGCTTTACCTCAACTACCACTTCTCTTGTGTCACCTGTTACTGTAGGATCTTCCTAGACTACTCCAGTCAAGTCAATACCAATTCCAGTTACAAAATTCAACGGGCCAATTCAACAACATTATGTAATTAAGAAACCAATGGTCTATGAGGGAAATGTACTATAGAAGAATATCAGGATCAGTTTGAAATTATTTCAAAAGTGAAGAGATGGAATAGTGAACAACAAGCTATTCATTTTGCTTCCCATTTAAAAGGGTCATCTTTAAAAACATTATATAACCTTCTAGCTGAAGGCCATAACAACTATGAAGCCTTATCTAACAGGTTTAGAGTGACATATCAGAAAGAAGTATCCAGAACAGGGTATGGAGGAAAGAAGAGAACTTAGCTGAACTTGCAGAAGATTTGTCCAATTATCTTACCCAGATAATCCTTGTGAAATAATGGATTCATTGGCAAGTGACCAATTTACAAATGATGATATGCTAATTAGGCTGAAACAAAGTAGGATGTACACATTTAATTAAGGGAAGTTCCAAAATTGGCTCTGGAACAGAATTCATTAAAATTGCAGATAAACAAGTTACAGAAACATCAACTAATTGCATAAAATGATGTGCATAAAATAAAAGTGTAACTGCTGAGAACTGTAGATAAAAGGATGAATGGAATAGCAACAGTAAAAGAGAACTGTTATAATTGTGGAAAACATTATTATTATTTATCTATCAGGGTTATTTCCATATGATGTCATAGAGCTGGCGATGTGTATTTTCAGAAATGTTATTTATTGGTAGACTTTGTACATGGATACTGATAAAAAGCTGGTGAATAATGCAATTTTTATACATGTTAGGTATTAAAATATATTATTGTCAGAAAGATTCAACAAGCTTTATTTGAAATGTGTGTATCTATCTATTAATTTTCATAAGAATATTCTAAATGCAAAGATTAAATTCACAACACACATTTATATGTGACCAGTAACAATTTTGTGTCAGCTCCTCATTGAAAAAAAAGAAAAACCTTACAGTAACAAACAAAAACAGAACTTGCACTCTTAGTGCATAACATGAAAAATTAAGCACTAATTTTATCAATAAAAAACTCAACAGTAAAAAGTTGAAATATTAAGGCCTAAACTGAATCCTGTTATGTTGCCAGTATGAAAGTACTAAGAAACGTACACCTATCATAATGTTCATAATAAACACAAACACGATACCTACCTTGAAGAAACTGAAAGTCTCTGGTCTGGATTTCTGTTGAGAACAGTAAAAAAAAAAAATAAAAAAGAACATTTTAACACTGTATTAAACTAATATATTCTCTTTATCAAATTAAAAATGTTCATGAAAGGTAGATTTCTTAAAATATAAAAGTTTCACTGTGTTAACTAAGCAAGATACCACATCTCATTATATTACATCATATATACTTAACATAGTGAACTAAATTTATGTTAGAATTCCAGATTAGAAATTGACAAAAACAGATCAAGTCACTTACTGATTCAACCCTAGGTGATACTTTGTGCAGCATGAGACAAACAATCATGTTACCTCCTGTTTCCTGGGATAGCTGAATTGGACCAAGTACTGAATCTGATGTAAAGTTACATTATAGCTGTCACATAATGCAGAGATACATTTGGATTCTATTGGCCCAGTTGATTGTTCAACTACATAGAATATGTGGATTGTGAGGGATGTTTTAGTACTTTTAAATAGGTCATGTTTCAAAAGGTGCAAAGAGGTATTTTAGCCTGTTGATCATGTGCTCTTTCTCTCAGTTTAAGGAGAATTTGTAGTGTTTAAGCTTTTATTGCTAGGGCTGATTGTATATTACTAAAATGGTTCATAGCCTTAGGGAGCCACATTGCAGAAGCAGATCTTCCTGCAAGACACTGAGCAGAGCAGCTTTCCTCCCAGCCTTCTTCATTGTCAGCATATGAGAAATATTAGTTTGCTAAATATCTAGATCCAGGAAATAAAACTTTAAACTTTAAAGTGTCAACCAAGACAATAAACCACATAAAGTGAGTACTTCACTGATAAATTTGACATCACCTAAACTATATCAGGAGAAGCTAAAAGACCCACATCTAACTTGGACACTGCCTGCTGTGTAGCACGACCAACACTAATAATTAAATGTATCAGATAAACATGTGATCTTTAACATTACTTGAGTAGGGAAGCATATTATGCTAGTATAATAACAGGTAGGCAAACAACGATTTATAATCATAAGGAAAAGTGTTATTGATGGTGGAACATATTACATGTTTCAACAAGAACATTGGACCTGAAGAAGACAGACCAATGTTTTGTCAAATATGTAGTATGTTACACAGTTAATATAACTTTTCCTTATGGTTATAAATCTATGTTTGCCTACCTATCATTACCTTTAACAGTTGTTTAGAGAACAGGAGGAAGTGCTATATTGTCATATAGCTCATGCAAGTATGGCCCCAGACCTGTAATGTAATTGATGGTTCTTAAGTCTTCAATATCCGAGATTCTCCAAGCATTACATGATTGACACAGAAAATATATATGTTAAAATGGTTAGAGGGCATCAATTTGATTAATGAGATTAGGTATAGTTTTGGTATGCACCAGCAGCACAAACTTCTTAGGTGCCTGGATTGGACTTTAATTTGTGCTGCAATGACTCAAAACCATCAAAGTGAATTTCAGCATTTCATGGCACATGACAGTGCATATGGTGCATTGACAAGCTGAAACTGTTTGTTCTACAAGTTATTTGAAACATTGCCTTTACCAAGAAGAAGAGAGTGAAGGGAATTATGATGGCACTACTGCATACAACTCCAATTTGGTGGAGGAAGAAGATGAAAGAGATTATTCTTCCTTGATTTTCTATGACTAATTCATAAGGATGGATAACCACAGTAGTTAAGTTGACCTCCAAGACACCACATCAGGGAGAGAGAGAGAGAGATTTAAGCACTCCTTTTGGTACATTACTATGTCAGGTATCTAGTGTGTTCCATGGCATTATTGCCAGATGATACACATACAAATATATATTCCACTTTTCCACAGTATTTAACATAGTGAACAAAATTTTAATCCAGAACTTGCTAAATCGAGACTTGATCATCTGCTAATTTTACCCTAGGTGATACTCCCTTTAGTATAAATTGGTCAAGGGTGCTATCTCCTGTTTCATGGGATATTTGTATCCAACATCACTGTTTAAATGAGATTACTTCATGACTGCTGTAGTGAACAGAAATGCCTCTAGGTATTAAATTTCAGTTATCCAATTTTCTGATTGGTCAGCTATGAAGAGAATGTGGATCATGAGAACAGTTTGGCATTTTGAGTTAAAATCACCTCTGATGTTGAAAGAGAGAGAGTCACAATTTGCTTGTGAAGTTTAAGATTTTTTTCTGCAATTTTCAGCCTGCTGATTGTACAAGTGAATATTCTTTAAAGTTTAAGTTAAAGTAGAAAACAGGTTCCAATTTATTCAAAAGAATATTTTTTCTTTCTTAAAGATGTGCCTTTATACGTTTATTTATTAACTTTTTAATTAAAAACAATTTAACCTGCTCCTCAGTGGCACAGCAGTTAGTCAGCAGGCTTACGATGCAAAAAAATCGAAATTCAATACCAGTGGTAGCCCACTGTGTAGCTTGACAACAACCAGCCCAAATCATCTTATTTAATTTCAATCAATCTGCTTCATTAATTCTCCTAACAACATAACAGTCCTTACCACCAGATGATTAGCCGAAGTATCAACCATACTTCTCTTTCAGTTCTGTACTTTTGTTAATAAAGTTTGATTTTATTTATCTTCACACCAGGTACTTGTCTCTCATTCCACCTGTAACAAATCACTTCCTTTATCCTTCTTAATACTACAAACACAAACATGTCGTTGGTGCGAAGATCAGCTAACCATATGCTTAGTCCATTCTAAACTTTCTCTGTTCACTAGATTCTTGCATTTTTCTTAGGCTGCTTTCCTCCTCTGATAATTTTTACTCTTTCTAAATAAAAGTAAAGCACAATCTCAACTATACTTAAAACATGGATTGTATCGGCGCTTGGATCACAATTTTTTAAAGCTATTTTCTTTACACGAAGTAGTAACTGAGAAATCCCAAGTTACTTATATAAAAAAATGGTACAAGAAAAGTCACTTTGTAAGTTATCACTTACGTCAAATACACATGTTCAACGAGTTTGCAGTAAACTTCTGGACCAGTCTCTCCACAGGTGGCGTTTACTGTGATGATGGCGTGAGTAGCTAGGTTGGACACAGTTGGAAACAAACCTTTAGCTGGGTCTCCTACTATCAAAAGGAAAAGTATTCAATTATTATTTCTTTTTAAATCAGATGTTGAAATTAAAACAGCATTAATAATAATAAAGTTTTATTTTCGATTTGATAATATCCTACGACTTTAGACTATAGTGCTTTTATGTTATAAGGAAGAGCCGAATTTAATCTTGAATTTCCAACTGTACTTACAAGAATACATACGTTCATATTAAAATAAAACGTTATTGACACATTATCATATTGTTACGTCTTCGTTTGTTAATTAACTTTCCGTAACTTCGTTCCGACGAAACTTTAGCGACACAAGTCGTTACTT